TTGTTTATTGCCAGGTAGGTGTACTAATTTCAAAATGATTAAGAGTGCTTATAAGAGTATAAGTAATAAGATAGTAGAGCAAAAGGGTTTTTTCTTGCTTGTATTTGATAGTAAGTTGTCATTGAAGTTCTCAGCAATAATGATATGATAAGATCTTGTTGGGCCTATTGTATCTATGTTATCATTGTGTTTTGAGTGCTGGTTGAGAGTTGCTAGTTGAATGATGATAGATAAACTGATATAATTCTAGTTTTATTGTGCTGTAGAAAGAACAAGTCTATCATAATTGAGTGCCTAAGCATGTTATAATATTGTGTATATAGAATTGAAATTGTGAATGTAGTGCAATTGCTGTTTTGAGACTGCTTTCTTTTATTTTTTTTGTGTCTGCATTGCAGTTTGATGTATATATTTTGTAGTATAGATTAGCTACTTGGAGTTTTGTAATGTAGATTTTGTGATTTTGTTTCTAGTATGCAAATAATATAAAACTTTTGTTTATAGAAATATTTAAGCCAAAGTTGTAATTTGAGATTCTTGTTGAATTTTTGTACATTGTAAGTATATATTGTTAGGTTGTTAATATTAATAAGTTTAGTAATAGGCTGGTTTGTTGTAGAGTTGGAGGTTGGTATTGATGTATTTAAACTGCTAGAGTGTGCAGTCATTGTTGGACCTTAGGTAAAAAGATCTTCTAGTTTGGTTCTTGAAGAGATGGCAGTGCTAGAAGGTTGTCTAGAATGTTGTTGATAGTAAAATGTTGTTATAGTAGTTCTAATGTGTTCTTTGCCTTTGTTTATTGTATAATTGGAATAGGTGTTTGAGTAAAGTCTATTTTCTTCATGTTTAGATAGTTTCTGATTTCTGTTGATAAGTTTGAAATTGCAGATTTAGATGAGTTTCTGTTTTTATCTTGGTCTATATTTTGTGTATCTATTTGTTTAGTATTTTCAAATATGTCAATCCAGGTGTCTGGAATGTGATAGAAGTAGTATATTTGTCTTAGTGCTCTAGCTGTGTCTATGAGTTCTTTAATTGATGTTATAGAAGTCATAATGTTAAAGTCTTCAATTTTCTGTAGATCTTCAAATAGGATGAGTTTGTCTGTAAGGTTTACTAATATTATGCTAGGTGGTAGAGAAAGAGAGAACTTGTAAATTGTTGTAATTTGATTTATAAATTGTTTTACTTATTGGTTGTCTGTTATCAGAAAGGTAAATGCATTAGGTGTTCTAATTTTGTTGGTATCTTTTGAGAAAGATGGCTTGGATTTGATATAATTATTTGGAAGGTTTTTGAAAATAAATTCTTCTCTAAGGAGTTTTATAACTTGTGTGTTGTTTGTATTTGAATCTTGTAAGTCTAATGAGAAGTAGAGTTTGTATTTACTACTAAGATCTTGGCATGCTAATAGGAGTAGTTGTTTAGAAGGTAGTAGGTTAAAGTAGCTTGAGAGTATGGTTTTGCAGATATAGAAGTTTTGTAGTCTTTTTTTGTAGAATGCTAGGTTGTTTAGCTAGCCTCATTTAGTAATTAGAAAGAAGTGTCTTACTGCAGGGTCTAGATCCTGTATGTTTTTTGAAGTTTGATTAAGTATAATAAAGTATTCTTGTAGTAATTGCTCAAAGTTATATATTTTGTGTAGTGCAGTTACTATTGCTTTTGTTTGTGATCTTTGTTTTATAGAAAGGCTAAAAGAAAATATCTGTAGAATTTCACTAGGAATTTCTCTTGGGTTTGCTAGAAGTGGGTCCAGTTGTACAAAGAAGACAGACTGTCTTGTATATCTTGAAAGTCAATTGAAGTTTTATCTCTAGTAAAGTTTTTGTAATATTTGATCAAGAAACAGAAGGTTCTGGGCATGTTTGTTGTAAAGTTAGTATTAGTTAGGTAGTCAATTATGATTTTTGTTTGAGTTTTATGTGTATAGTGTTTCTAATTGCTTTGGTTGTTATTGTAATTTCATATGCTTTCTTGTAGTTTTCTATTGCTGTTTTGAATAGGTTTTTATAGGCAATCTGATGCTAAGGTATCAAGTATTTGTCTCTTGTGAAGATAAGGAAAAATGCTGGATCTTGATGTTTAAATTTGGCTTTGATGGCTGGGTGAAGTGGAAAGTTGGTAGGTTTGATAAGTAGCTTATGTTCTACAAAGTTATAAATTCATTTTTTTGGTTTCAGAATAGCAATAATTTCATCATAGTTTTATAGTTCTTTATTGAAAAACTGTGTGATTTTTTTTTGTAGGTTGTTGCATATGCTGTTTACCTATTCTTAGATATAGTCTATTTTCATGTTATCTTGCATTGTGTTTTGTATAATAATATTTTTTTGTATTATTTGGCTATAAGTAAGAGGCTTTTGTTTATTAAGATTGCTAGCTATTGTAGTAACAGATTCAGTTTCTATATTTAGATTGTCAAGGTTTGCTTGTTCTTTAGTCTTGAGTTTGCTTTGTTGTGTGTCTGTAGGATTTAAACTGTTTGATATGGGTTCTGCCAAAGGCATGTGCTCAGCTTTGCTATTGACACTTATGATAATATTTGTGTGATTATTATAGAAGATGATGATATGGCTGTTGTCAATGTCTGTAAATTCTGTTGAGATATTGTTAGAACCAGTTTGAGCAAGTTTGTTGTTGTTGTTTGCATATGATGATGTCATGGTGGATTTGTTAGAGGTAAGCTAAATTGCCTACTTTTTTTGTTGTTTTGTAATCTAGGAAGGTGTGTGTGTCTTTTTTTTGAAGGTGTATCTAAGTATGTAGAGTTTTGTTTATTGTCGCTTTTATTTTTTCAAAATGTAGTATTGCTAGCATTTGCAGTTTGTTTCTTCATTTGTAGTTGCAGTGTAGTCTCAAAGGAGAACTAAGATATAAGGCTGGCTGGCCTGTATTCATTTTTTTTGTCTATGATAGTATTAGGAGTTTTGTTTTTTTTTTTTTAATTATACCTTATATTATAGTTGTACTGCTTGTTATATGTATTTAGTATAGCCAAAGGGCCAGAAAAGTGCTAGAATCTATATTTATTTAGTTATATACTAGTTAAAATATAACTTATTTTTTGTCAATTATTTTTATTTAATAATTTGTAATTTACAAGAAAGAGTTAGTCAAAAAATTTCCTTGTATGTTGTTTGATAGGTTTTGTTTTATTAATAGTTATAGATATGTTGAAAGTAATAATTTTGTGATCTGATTCAGATAAGATATCCTCAAGAATATCAGTATAGTTAATTTGAGATATACTTAGATTTGTCCATATTTGGTCAATTCTACTGTTTGAGATTGAGCAAGTAAAAGTAAAGTTGTGAGTTAAAGAAAAGAAAAATCAGTATATATCTTTGAATTAATGACTAATTAGATATTTAAAAATTTAAGATTCTGAAATAGAGGTGTTTTTAAGAGAATTTTTATTCAAGCATGGATTAAAAATACTATTAAAATTATCAAGTATTATTAGTTGATAGTTGGAGTTATTACAAAGTTAAATAATTTGTTCTTGGATTTCAGAACATAGTTGTTTTTCTCTGCTGTTAGAAGGTAAATTTGGAGAATACAGATAGAATTACATTTGAAATGTAAATTGAGACTAATTATATAACTATTATAGTTATGTGTTCTAGCTACATATTTGGAGATTCTATTATATATAAAAATTCCAACATCTGCTTGATGAGAATTTTTATAAGAATTTCAGAAATTGTTATAGTTTTGAAACTCTTTGTTAATATATTTTCCTTCTTTTGAAGTTAGATGTGTTTCTGATAATCCAAATATATTAAAATTATATTAGTTAATTATATCAATAAGTAAGAGTTTTTTTGAATATTGAAAGGAATTGAGATAATAGATGAAAGAATTGTTTGTAAAAGAAGTATATTATTAGTAGTTGTAGCATTAGAGTTATATAAATTAGGAGTAATAGAATTTGAATTATTATCATTATATGTATTAAAAAAATATTATTTAAGATAGTATAAGAAGTTGAGTATCTGAAATGTGATTTAATAGGAAGATTATTATATAGATGATAAAGTGAGCTTAGAAGAAATGTGTGTTTACATAGAAGTTTATATTTTGGATTTTTATAAATATGTGTTTTAGTAAGTGTATTATTAATAGAGATTTTAAAAGTTTTGTTAAAGGAGTTATTTTTTAAATATTGAATAAAAGATAGTAGTGTTTGTTTAGGTGGTAAGGTTGAGAGATTATAATTAATTAAGAAGATATTATAGCAGGGGAGGTCCTTGGAGTTAGATAAAGAATTGGAATCCAAGAAGTAATAAAATGTTTCTGCAAGGTCACTTATTATTTTAAGCTTGGCTTACACAGCTGTGAAAGATACTGTAGTTCTCCCAATATGTTGGGCCTAACTATATTAACCCAGTTTCTGCATAAATAGGCTTTACTGCTTGCCTACTTACATCATTCTTCTCTATAAATAACCTACTGTTTGTAGAGTACATCATAATTTTAGAGATAACAACTGCTTTAATGTTACTTTCAGAAAGGTTTATTAAAAAAAAGGTTAAGAGATAATAGGTTTAAAGAGATTAAAATCATTGATTTTTTTTGAAATAATATATTTAAATTCATTATTAATAAGAGATTCAGCTTGAGAGTAATAGTCTTCATTATATTTTTTTCAGATAAAAGAGATAAAAAGATTTGTACTACTTTAAGTATTTCAAAGTAGGTAATAATTCTGATTAGAAAATGAATATCTGTAATTTGGTTTGTAACTTTTTTAATAACTTGGTCATAGCTAAAATTGAAGATTTTATTATTTTGAGCTGTTGATTAAAGGAAGCTTTAAAGTATTCATAAAAGTAATTGGTTTAATGATTAAAATTATAATCAGTTTTGTTGATTTTTATGAATTGTTTTTTAGCAGAATCAACAAGTTCTCAAAAAAATTTAATTAAAATTGAAATTTTGAATAAAGCTGAATGTTTATTATCTTTATAAAAGATTGAGAAATCTAAGATAGAATGAGTCTATACTGGTTGATTAGATTTAGTAGATGGACTTGATTTGTCAGAAATAGGAACAGGAAATTTTTTGAAAGATTGATCAAAGTAATATGTTGAGAGATTTTGAAAGTTATGTTCAGTATTAGATGGAAGAACTGTGCATTTGTGTTCATCAGAGTTTTTGTAAATATGAACATTAAAAAGAACAAGTTTCCTAACTAATAGAGTGCACTTTTGAAGAGATGTAATAGATTCAATAATAAAGGATTGGAGTAGTAGTTTTTTATGCTCTTCAGCATATTTAGTTGCAGTTTGATATTTAAAAAAATTAAGAACTTTGGTTTTGATAATGTTTGAAGAATAATGTTTATAAATTTTAAAGAATTTATCAAACTAATTTTCAAGAATTACTCTATATGGTTTAAGGGAAGGTATTTGAAAAGAGTTTTTGAATTTTTCAATATTAATATTAAAAGAAATATTAATATTTAGTTTTTTATTATTTTGTATTTGAAAAAGAGCTTTGTTAATTAAATTAGAACTAATATTATAATGTAAAGTAAAATGAAGTGGTTGAAAATTTAGATTTTCTATAAATTTTTTTGTATGAATAGTTTTATAAATAGAGTTAAGAAAGAGATATAAACATATAAGATTAATACCAACTTGAAGTCAATTTTGAAATATATATAGTGAAATAGTATTATAAAATTGAATAATTTTTTTATAGTTGAGTTTTGTAAAGAATATAGTAAGAAATTTAGAAAGAATAAGTTTTAAGATATTAATTAAAATTTTTATAATAATTAGAATTTGAGTATTAATTGATGGATTTGTTTTATGAACTAAGTCTACCAAGAATTTGGATTTTTACTCTGTCATGTTTTTTAATAAGTAGTTAAAAGAGTATTTGAAAGTAGATTTAATATCTGAATTTTCAGAAGAAACAGTTTTTTTAAATACAAATTGAATTAAATTGGATTTAAAAAACTCAAATAGTTGTTGAGAAAATGAAGTGTTAAGTTTTAAATTGGATTCTATTTCTTTTATGACTGAAAATAATTTAAACTAATTAAGATCTTGAGAGGTATCATGTTTTTGTTCTTGAGATTTGGTATTCTTTTTAGAAAATTTAGATAAAATTTTTTAAAAAATTTTAATTTTTTAGTTTTATTAAATAAAATAATCTTGGATATATGAATCATTTTTTTTTATTCTTAAGTTAAAAATTTAGTTTGAAAAAGATGATGTAATTTGATATTAATAATTTTGTGAATGTAACTACAATGGATAAATTGAGTTCTAAAAAGAATTGTTATAGTATAATCTAGTGAATGTTTGTTTTTTTAAAAAAAATACCAGGAAGATTTTTGACATTATTTAAAACATATGTATGAACATGTTGAGAATAAGGAATAATAATAGTTGGTATAGAATTAGTATTAAATAAAGAAAAAAAAATAGTAGAATTAGGAAGTTAAGTTGAAAATTGTTTAAGAATAGGAAATGTGAATAGAATATCACTAATTTTTTTAAACCATTTAATAGAGATAATTGAAGAAGTTTGCATACTAGAGAGACCAAAAATGGTAAGTTGAATAATTTGTAGTAGTAAGAGGTAAAATTTATATAAAATTGATCACATAAATATGTGCCAATAGTTGGTTAAGTAAAAACTTTAAAGTAATATTATTTTTTCTTAAAACTTTTATATTGATTAGAATTAATATTCAGTAAAAGAATATAGAGTGATTTAGAAATTTCTTCAATCATACCAAGTCTATGATGGTCTCTGTATTTAGAATAATAATAATCTATATTATAGGGATATGGTTCAGTTGTTATAAAAATAGATATTTTTAAAATATTTTGTTAAATAAAAAAGTTGTAAGTATATAATTTTGTAAGAGTAGTAGGCAAGTACTAGGGTTTTAGTATAAGGTATAGCTTAAAATAGATTTGTGTAATTTTATGTAATAAGGTATTACAAAATTATAATTTATAATAAACTAAAATAGTAGATGTAACTAAATACTAGTTATCAGTATAGCATAATATTAGTACAAAGCACAGTTTTTATATAAAATTAATTAGAACCAAATATGAAAAAGAGTAGATTGTAAGTTAAATAAGGTTCTATTTAAGGATATATTAGTAAATTTAATTAAATATAAATTAAGAAGTAATCTGATGTTATATGAAAAACATGTAAAGATGAGCAGACCAGGGTAGGGATAAAAGATAAAAAAAGAATTTTCATAAGAGTGTAAAAATTAAATTTGATTGTAATTTAGTTAATATTTGGTCAAAAATCTTTGTTTGGAGCTTTTTTTGACTAAAAAACTGTACTTTACATTTTACTTAAGAGTATAAAGTAAGTTGTGATAATAACTTTTATGTATTAAAATTGTGAATTCTAAAAGCCAAAGACCATCAGTACATTTTTCTTAACAAGTTTAAATTTTAAAGACTTGAAACTTTCAAAATAAATATATAATTTAGTATTGAACAAGTTTACTTAAGAGCCAAAAATAAGTTAACTCAGTAAAATAAATAGTTATAAATATTTTTATATAAATGAATTTTTAGTTAAGATTTGTGTAAAGGATTTGCAGAAAGAAAGGTTCCTTTTAATAAAATTTTTTAAAATATTAAAAATAAAAAAAAAATTATTATAAAGGTCATAGAAAAAATAATTTATATTAAATTCTATCTTTAATTATATTTATATGCTTTAAGTAATCTAATTTTATATATAAATTTATATTAGAAATATATAATATTATTTTAGATTTTCTAATTTTAAAGTAAAGATATTAAATTTTACTAATTTTTGAATTTTTGATAAAAAAATTTAAAATTTGGTATTATTTTGTTAATATTTAAAAAATATAAAATTTAATATATTGATATAATGTATTTTTATATAAAACAAAATTACTTAGAGCATAAAAATAGAATTAATTAATAAGAATTTGAGAATAATAAGATTTCCTATATTTTTATTAGTGAAATTATTGAAAATTTAAGCTTCTTCTAATTTTATTAATTAATTTTATCTTTATGTACTAAGTAATCTGATTTTATATATAAATTATATTAAAAGCATATAATATTATTTTGCATTAAGCTGTGCATCAAAATAACCAACTAACACATACACTAACAATCACAACTCCAGAACACCCAGCTACAGACCAAGTGGCAGCAACAAAATATGAAAAATGGGCAACCATTTTTCCTTCTACT